AACCATTGCTTGGGTTTTATCTGGTGCCAGAGTAACCTGCCACTTTTTACTCCAATACATTATATAGTCAAGTGTGTCATTTATGTGTCTAACTGCCTCTGCGCGGTTTTGGGTATCGCAGGTGAAAGTGAGAGTGCAGTCGTCAGCGTAAGCATAAGCCTCAGGGATGAGCTGCAGGATATCATTAAAGTAAACGTTCCACAGAAGTGGTCCGATTACACTGCCTTGAGGTACACTGGCTTGAATGGGGAATTCACTGGATGTGTGACCATTAACGACAACTCTTAATTTTCTTTCTTGGAGGTAATCCTCGAGTAGCATTAGTAGGTTGCCGTCAATTCCAAAGCTCTTCAGCTTCGATGCAAGGCCCTTGTGCCACACTCTATCAAATGCTCCTGCTATATCGAGTGCAACAACAAAGGTGTCCTTGCGAGTGTCAAGAGCTTGGTGCCATATTGTGGTTAGGTGCAGAAGTAGGTCTGAAGCCGATCTCTGTGACCTGAAGCCAAATTGTCTTGTACTGAGTAGATGTTTTTTATCAAAATAAAGAGTCAGTTTGTTTGCTAGAATCTTTTCAAATGTTTTGCCAACGGAGGAAAGGAGTGAAATTGGACGATAGTTATTTGGATCTGATTTGCTCTTCTTTTTGTGTACTGCTACAATGTTTGCTTTCTTCCAAATATTAGGCCATTTACTGTATCTCAGGCATGTTTGGAAAAGTGAGGCAAGAGGAGCAGCCAGCTGCCTGGCACACCTGTGAAGTGTGTAAGGACTGACTTTATCAGGTCCTATGGCCTTATGGACATCAGCCTCATTTAGATGCTGCCTGACTTCTGCTTCAGTGATCACGAAAGAGCTCAGCTTCGAGTGAGTCACGAGAGGCAAACTAGGAGAATATCGGTCAGGGTCATGTACTCTCATCTTTTCGGAGAAGAGTGAAGCCAGAAGTTCAGCCTTCTCTCTGCTGGAGGTTGCAACTGATCCATCAGGCTTGTTGAGAGGGGGGATGCAGTCGTCAGGGGAAAATCCTTGTTGTTGTTTGATGCAGCTCCACCAGGCTTTACTTCCCACTGAACGACTAGTGAGTTTTAACCGAAGGTCCTCCTTCCATCGATTAATTGCCCATTTTTGGACAGCTTTCATTCTCCTGCAAGCCATAGCATGAATATCTTTATTCCTTCATGTGGGATGGCGCTTATAACGGTTCCAGGCTCTCATCTTCTGGTCAGATGCCATTCTACAATTGTAGCCAAACCATGGCTGATCTGTGGATTTCGTCTTGTATGTCTTGTTAGGTACATACATTGCTTGTAGGCTGGCTAGTAATTTGGTATGGGCCAGTGCTTGTCTGTCAACAGTGCCAGTGAGAATGTCTTCCCAGGGAGTCACAGATAATGCATCACGCATGCCTTGCCAGTCTGCCTTTTCCCATTGCCAGATTGTACGGGACAAAGTTTCCTCTCGCGCAGCTTTTAGGCTGATCTTGCTCAATACTGCGAAGTGATCAGAGGAGCCAACTGTGCCCAGGGAAGAACAACTGACGTCTGATTCAGCCAGATCAGTAATCACAGGGTCAAGGGATGAGCCTGATATGTGGGTTGGGAAATGAACATGATTTGTGAGCCCGAATATAGTGAGGAGCTCTTCAAATGATCTTTCAACCAAGTGTTGGTTCAGATCCCCTAGTATTATAATATTCTTGCAGGAGTGTGCTTGGAGAATATTATCCAGGTTGGCTTGAAGATAAACAAGTGGTTCAGAGCCTTACCACTGGGGTCTGTAGCAGACACAGAGAAGCACAGCATTTTGTGTGTCTGTCCAAATTTTGAAAAACATGAGTTCAAGATGATCTGCTACATCAATCTCAAGTGAGTGTACATGTAGTGTTCTTCGAAAGCAAACTGCGATGCCTCCAAAAGTACCATGCATTCTGTAACGTCTGTGCCAAAATTCTCAGGTACTGTGAAGTTCAAGAAAGTTTCCACAGCAGCAATGATGTCAGGTTGATGTGGAATTATGTGGCTATGTGTGAGGTCTCCCAAGTTCGTTTGGAAGCCTCTAACATTAGCGGAGAGGATGCGCAGGTGGGCCATTCTTCTGTGGTTGTGTGGCATTGTACCAGGGACCTTGTAGAGGGTTAGTGGTTTGTTGGTTGGGTGGCTGAATGGCTGATGTTGGCCAGCCGTTGGCTTGCAAGGAAAGATGTGAAATATGTGGAGTGTATGGCTTCAAGTGCTGCTGTATTGCTTGCACCAAGATAGCATTGCTTTGACGCTGTTCTGCAGCAATGCACTGGAAGAGACGTTCTTGTCTTTCCTCTTGTCTCTTCATACGACACTCAGATGTTTGATGTCCTCTACGATAACAATATTCACATTCTTTAATCTTACGGCAATTATTTTCGGAGTGACCCTTGCTTTTAGAATGCTTGTAGTAAAGAGTCTGCCTGTTAGATCTCTGCTGTCGATTATGAGTGGTTGTCTGGGGGTTATGGGGCCTC